CCTATTTTCTCATTCACTTTGAGGCTCCAGCAAGAAGTCAGAGAAGAAAAAAAGCCTGAAGAACACTGGGCCAGACCATTCCTACCACTTCAGTGTTTGGATGACTTCAAGTCACCTGATTACTCCAAGTTTTATTCATACTTAGTCAAAACTAATTTATACCTGTAGGAACTAAGTTTTCCACTGAATGTTTTAACTTATTTTAATGTTTTCTACTCTACTTTCCTATCCTTGAAGTCCCTAAAATATTCAGATCTTTCTGATATCCCTAAACTTACCTACTTCATAATCTGTTGCCTTGTTGAAATGCAGGCTTTTAGAATACTCTCTTACCAATGAGGTTTGCTGCTTTTGAATGTTATTAAAGAGAACATAAAGACGGTGTTTTGTAAACATGTAATCATATTTGCAATTAAAAAAAAGCGGGGAAGAAAAACGAAGTAGGAAGAAACAGAAGAGTGATGAATGGCAAGCAGCTGATGGACAAGGGGATGAGGGAGAAATAAGTAACTATCAAGGTATTTCTGCTGTAGTCTGTGCCAATAAAATATTTAACACATCAGAAGTCAAGCAACAGTGAGCAAGGGGTACACCTTCATGTCCTTTACTCAGTCATCAGTAATCCCAGAGCACTAACCCATGCCAAAGTGTAAATCCGGATTTATGTTACTTAGGTCTTATTAAAAAGGTAACAAGAAGGCAGGAAAATATATATATGCCTTTTCTCCCACCTCAGTAATTTTTGCCTTTAAATAACCCTCCTGTTGTCATTCTGCAGAAAGGACAAATCATTTGGCAGTAAATTTAGATCAGAATTGTAAACTGAGTTGCTATGACAATTGCAATGCCAGCCTTTTTTTCATGAATAAACATCAGACATATTGAGAACATATTAAGAACATATTAAGAATAATGCGTACTTCTGAAAAAAGAAAAAAACCACAGTATTTAAGAAGGCTTGAAGATAATGAAGACTACTGCAGTCTTGAATTGTAGAGGATTTAAATACATACAGATGGTGGGATGAGACTAAAGCCAGGCAGTTTTTCCTATCTGTAAGAGCTTCTAAAGGAAATTACTGCACCTAAGAATTGCTCAGCATTAAACTATTACCAGCACATTACAGGCAGAGGTATTCTGGTTGTACTTGATTTTTCTTTTGACCTTTCCATTTAGTTACTTTGATATAAGCAAGAAATTAAAACACAGGCTGGTGGTTATTAAGGTTTGTAGTTTTTGTGGTACTGATTGTTTGGTTTGTGGTGGGTTTGTGGAGTTAGTTTTTCTTTTTAACCAGCATTCTTAATTCTTTTAGGAGAAAGCTGAAATCAATACAGATACTGATGAAACCCACCAAAAGTTCAGAAATTACACCCATTTCAATCAAGGAAGTGATTTATCAATTAACTTTCTTACAGACAGCCTGTGAGTACTTGCTGAAGGAAATCCCTTCATAGTGCCAAAAGAGCACTACCATACCTCTGAGTCAAAAAGTGATTTTAAGGCTGAGCGAGAGCACTGTCTTTTCTAGAAAGAAGAGCTAAGCTTAAACAGTTACTTAGGACAGACTATTAGAAAAGTCTCTTCTGCAAGCTTAACATGGATCCATACATTACAGAACTGTTAGGAGCTTTAACAGACACAATTAGGTGAGAGATCTTGTTAAGATTTGTGAACGCTTCAAGTGTTTTCACATCAGTTTGTCTTTAAAAGCCTTCACAAAAAGAAGCAAAGCTAAAGGGTTGTCTACCTAAATTACGGTTCCAACATCTCATATGGCTGGGGTTTAAACATCCATAATAGGAGTGAAAGGTATCCAATATTTCAGAAGACAGGACCTCACATTAAATCTGGGAGCCCTTTTTCCTATTACTCATCTTGCTGAGGTTGCACCCCAGAAATTTAGGGGACAGGTATAAGCTTTAGAATATTTAAATTTGCAGTTAAGCAACAGTGAGGTCTTTGCTACAATTAAGCACGTGCCCAATACATAACTTTCAAAATTACTATTTTTACAAGACTCATGATATTAAAAGTATACCTAAAGTGATTTCTTCTTTCACAGCTAAGGAAAACAGGCATTCAAACAAACCAAAAAAAAAAAAGCATTTTAAATTGAAACCCAAATATTTTAGTATCAATAACTGCAACTGAAAATTACGCTTATGACATTAAGAAGAGGCTACGTGTATGGCATAAAGCATTCGGATTTCCTTATAGATTGTTATCTTACCAAAATGGAGAAGGGTAGGGTAATTTCCTGACACGTAAGAAGGGAAACATGGCAAACAGGATAGGAAACAAAATCTGGAAAGAAAAGTCAAGGAGAGGAATGTCTAGAAAAAGATTCTGAACAAAAAAAATTATTTTACAAAGCAGGAAAAAGAAACATTTGTAGAAGAAACAGAATTGCTTTACATGTTCAGCATGCCAGTATTACAGCTTTAGTCTTTTACTGTACTTTGATCATAACCAAGCAGAGAAACATCTATGCAACTTTTCAAATAAAGCTCCAAGAGGTGTTTCCACATGATCAATGTTTCTGAATGTTTTGAGCATTTGTCCTTTTAGTATGCGGCCTAATATTGGTATGGGATGGGTTGTGTTCTCCTACGGGTACAGAATATTTACAGCTTCCCCTCAGGCTAAATTGAAAGTGGCTCAACCAACACCACACTTAATGGTTAAACAAGTTGAAGAAAAAAAAAATAAGACCCATACTTAGAGAAAACAGTTTTCTAAAAATTCATTCACTTCAGGATCTCAATCAAAAGGGGAGAGAAAAAAAAAGGAGATGCTGGTAACACAGTTGCCAACCTCAACCATACATTTCCCCCCATGTCTTAGTATCTATTTTAGTTCTTATATGAAGTTCAAGATTCTTTAATCTTACAAGGACCGAACATTTTTGGAGCTTGCGTACAGAGATATAAAGCATGAGATTCATTACATTTTATAAGAGAAAAGGTCACTGAACTGACCTCACCCAGTTACATGTTATGCACCCCTGTCCCCTGCACCATCTAGGTATTAATATCTTAAATTTCTCCATAAGCCTGTAAATAATTTTATTTTAACAAATCAGAACCCATTGATATTTTCTTTTCCTAGATTTGTATAAAATTTGGTGTTTTATATATATATATATGACTATTTAATATCACAGCTACTATGTTGCCACTCTGTTTATTAAAGATGTCATGATAATTGCACCTAATTTTAAAAAGTCATTCCATCTGTTTTCATGGGGAGATTTTTGGGATAAATGATACTGTGCTATACAATAACACATCTAGCACAATCCTAGAGAAAAATACCTGAATAGGAGGACAACACTTACATTTTTAAGGCTATGCTATGCATCGCTCTTTCATCTCTCAGCTTAATTTGGCCTGAGAGTGCTTCTTCCATACCCTCACTCAAACCCATATTTAAACAGAGGCAGTAGTTAAGCTGCCAATTCAAAACGTTTAAAACAAGACATATCACAGCATATGCAGAGATTTTACTGGGGAATACAAAAAGAACTTATAAATACTTTAGGGTAACACTGATGATGTTTGTAATATTTCTAGGAATTTTTAGTACCTGCTGAAGTTCAGCTTTTTGTGGCTCAGAAAAACAAAACTTCTGTATTAAAAACATACAAGGACTAATCTTTCCTCATACAGAGCATTTAAGCTCAGAAGCACATTTTAAAATGCTTGTAGGAAAAATGAGGAATATACTTTTCTATTCATAAACTGCTTCAGCTTTTGAATGCATTATTTTTATCTCCCAGATGAATTTATTACACTTTAGGACCAACTGATCTACAACCTGAATATCATAATTGGCCTAAAAAAACCCCCAAAACCCCAGCAAGGTAAATCAAGTTATACTATTTCAAAATATATTCTTACCAAAACCTTTTCTAAGATGAAAGGTTGCATTTGAGATATGTGAGCCAAGCACTGCAGGTACAAATCACTAAAGGTTTTTCATATAAAGGTTAGCCATACAACAAAAGTAATTTAGAGTTTAAAAAAAATGTGTCCGGAGCAGATGATTTCTCCCTGAGGCACACAGAGGATTGATACCAGTTGTGCTATCACTAGAGGATTAAAAAAATAAATTATATAATAACTCAGAGAGCCTGACCATCAATGCAGTTGTTTTAATCATTATCAATGTTTTTACTGGACAATTTTAAATTTAAAGAGATGTCAGGTTTGGCATTAAGCAAAGCCATAAGCATGAAATTCAAATGTAAGATACACCATGCTGGCCCAAATTTAAGGTAACGGCATTACTACAAATACGCAAGTTAGCTAGAAAAGCAAAAGTTATCTGAAATGCAAGAGCAGAATGAACAGAACCAGTCAGTAAGGAAAACAATTTCATAAAAATGCAAGATAAAAGTGACAGCAAAAAAACATGCTTTCAAATTAGAAGAAACCATTACCTACGTTCCTCCCTTTCTATCATCTGTTACAACACAGAGCTCATCAACTACCTCCAAATACCCTACTGACATCTGCTCATTGCTTGAGCTACCAACAGCAGTTATAATTTTTTATAACAGAGTAATAATAAATATAATGAAGAATTATAAAGAAAAAACTGCTAAACAGGTATAACTGTGGCATTTTGAGTAAAGTAATTTAAAAGCTTATTCTAACCTTGTAAAATACTGCAATCCAAAGACCCAAAAGAACATTTTATTCTTATCTTACCTGATTCTTTAGAGCCTTTTACCACAAGTGAATCTACCTCTACTGATTTTGGTCTAAGTGGTAATGGTTCAGAGTCTAACTTTGGTTTTGCTACTGGCTCAACTTCAGATTTCGGTCGAAGAGAAACAACTTCTCCATTAGATCTGTAATGAGGAAAAAAAAACATCAACAAGACATATCTAGTCAGGAGAATAAATAGTTTAAAACTGAAACATACCAAGAATTAGATGTATATGGAAAAAATTCAGTATATTTTATCATTTTCTATATCCTTGCTTAAAATCAAGTCTTTCGAAAAGCAATTCTAGTTCTATAAAAATGAGTTCCCCCATTTCAGCTCTTGCAGAGTCCCCTTATAAAAATAATCCCAAACTTTCACTACAGGGCATATTTTGGCACTTAAAGCGTTACACTTCAGTACAACAGAAAACAAGAGAACTGAATAGCACACCTTCAGTAATATCTCTTGAAATATGTCAAAATATACTCAGACCCCTTGACATCAAAATCTTCCTGTAAAGAAAAAAAGTTGCCAAGAACAAGTTATTTCTTTCTGGGTATAGAATAAAGTATGTTATATATATATATATATATGGCTATATATGACCTCATCCATGAAGGAAGACAGAACAACAAACCAAATAAAATATACTTCTTGTATGTGATTTAAGTTTTACTGACTTGGACACAGATGAAGGCAAAGTGGGTTTCTCTGGACGTTTGGGGTGCAGGAGCCCTGCTCTCAGTAAGCTGTTCGTCTTGGTAGGAAGGGTAGGCTTCTTGGGTGGGACTTGAGGAGCCTGTGGCTTCAAAGGCTTCTGATCCAAAGCTTTTTCATCTGACAAGAGAAGCCACCATAACATGTTAGAAACCCATGTTACCTAGCATTCTTACAACACTAGTCAATTGGAAAGCAACTGCTGTCAGAAATACTTTCTTTGAAGATCAAAGTGAAAAATAGATATGCAAGTGTCTTAAGTGATACCTTACAAAAACAACAACTACTTACATGAACCTAAAAAACATTACATTAAAGCAAAATGTCTTTCTACTGACATGAAACAGTAGTAAGAAATTATGGATTCACATTATTGCACTGCAAATAACAGCTAAGAATCAAATACCATATGTACAGCTACTGCTTTCCCCTTTCTAAGAATTCATCTTATTTCCTCTTTAAAAGGTAGTTTGGTTTTTTATTTTGTTCTAACTAGACTTTTCATACACACAGACAGCATAATTTATCTATGGAAAAAAGAGGGGAAATTAATATTTATCTGAATAAATGAATATTTAAATGAATAATTGAATGTAATTTAGACAAAGTCCTACAAACCCAAGATACAACTTAAGTATGGATAATCAAAGAAAGAAATTAAATCTACTGTCCGAAGACTGCATGACCTGTCCAGAAGAGCTGACACAGAACATACATGGCACTGAAAAAAATCAGGCTGCTTCAATGTTGGTTGAATGGTCTTCAACCCATGTTCTCTAATCACACCCTGTGGGATATCCAGAGCACACCTTCTAGTTTTCCATATAAAACTATGCTACAGCTCAATCAGGCATCCATAAAGTGCTGAGGATTTAACAGATTGTTGGGTAACAGTAAGGAGTTCCAGTTCTCTACAGTAAGGACAGTAAGTCAGTAAATTGGGACGGAGACACTGACCCTCAGCTTTGGTTCCTGTCATCCTCTCTTCCTATGACTCTGCTTTTAACCAAGTATTGGTATAACATGAAGTGTTTACATATGCTATGGATTTGGGAGTAAGGTTGGAAATTTGGTAATTTGGCTCCATCTCAGCAAGGCGCCTTAATTGCCAGGTCTAGGACTGTCGTCCTTTGGACAAGCCCTGCAGCTGCTGAGTGTCAGCCCTCCAACCGTAACATGGGGAAACATCAATTTTCTTTCAGATAAATACTTGCAAATAAACAGATCATAGAGATACTTCAGCATTATCTAGGGCAGAACTGTCTTCCTGCTTTGGGACATTTGAACACTAGGAGGAGGAATTAATAAAAAACCTAAACTGGTCTGCATGCTTTTCTACTCTCTTAGTACTGAGTTAAAAACACAAAATACTGAAGCAGTGGAAGGATTTTGCCACACGGTGGTGCTGGCTGCCCTGTGTAAAACAGCCTGGTGACACGGCCAGCCACTTCTGCCCGCTGATCCTATCTGCAACATCTACATTTTAAATGTCCAGCAGCAGTCAGTGCTACTGAAGTTCAATTTTGGCTTTGATGTTATGCTGAACACTAGTTGAAAATTGTGCCTTTTGTTTAAGAATAAGTGAGTTCATAACCCAGGCAGAAAAAAATGCTGTCATTAAATTGCACTCCTGAACTCTCATCTGTTGGTTTTCCCTTCAATTACACCCACTCAAAATCTGAATATAAAAAATTATCATAGCAAAGTGGAATAAGTTAACACTAAAGGTCAAGATTCACCATGAGCACAGAAGTTGGACAATTCTGCTGGACAAAAGGGCATGCCTCTTTTTTGGATTTTATTCCGCAATGAAAAAGGTAAGTGTTGGCTCAAATGGAACAGCTTAGTAATGGAAATAAAAATACTAATCCGAAGACAGGACAAAAATTTCTACATGATACCATTAAGTGACTGTCACTATAAATACAGAAATACTTACAAGAGTATTGCTTTTAATTTTCGATCAATTTTTGATCTCAATTAAAGACAGATTCAGTAGTGTCCCAATAGGCGTAAAATAATTACATGGTTTAATAGCTTGTGATTAGAGCTGCTCAATTAATACTTTTTTTTGAAGACTAATTACAGCACAATTTCATACTTTAATCACTTGTATCAACACGGGTATTTTTCCACAAGAAAAACTGCACTGATAAATGGGTATTTCTTCTAGTAAAAGACTACTGCCACCTAAATGAGTAACTTTTAAGACCTGACCTTTAACTGAATGCAAGACAAAATTTTCCTCCATCAATTCTTGTACCACAGTAAAGGACAGGTCTTTAGCTTTCTTAGTTTTTCAGAAGCTTTAATGTTCCTAAGCATTTTGGATGGTGTCACTCAGTATTTTTTTTCTTATATTCCTCCATGAACAGTTGGGCTCAACTATGCAAAGGTTCACACCACAGCACAAACAGAACCAGTCTAAAATTAAACTTACCTCAGTTTAAATAACTGAGTTAAAATAGATTTATAAAGAGCCAAGTGACCAAAATTTCTAAAATTATACAGCTGATCTCAATTCACACCTGAAAATACTGTTCCAATAGATAAAAATAATTTGTTTGTTCACATGCAGAGGAAACATAGCTGATTTTAACAAGTAGCCTTTGTATGAAACACCTGAGAATCTAGTTTAAGATGAGGGATATAAAAACTGCCCAGGGAAGCCAACAAACCCATTGAGCAGGGTTACTTGTTGAAATGCTGTTTACACACAGAATCACACAAAACGTTAGGGATTGGAAGGGACCTCAAAAGATCATCCAGTCCAATCCCCCTGCTGGAGCAGGAACACCTAGATGAGGTTACACAGGAAGGCGTCCAGGAGGGTTTTGAATGTCTCCAGAGAAGGAGACTCCACAACCTCTCTGGGCAGCCTGGGCCATGGTCAGCCACAGTTTGCTATTCCCAGAACAGAGTATGTTTTTGTAATAGGGTTAAGCTGCAATAAAATCAGAATTACTTCTTTTTAAATGTCTGATTTTTCAACACAATCAAAACCTTCTAACAGTTTGACTTGGCAAGTTTATCAAATACAAAAATAAGCATTTTAGAAATGTGTTTCAGTGATAACAGCAGCTTTTCTTCAGGGAAAAAAGCTGTCCTTTAAATTTTAAGAATAAACTGGTAAACACCTTGAAAGTACATGGAACTTGAAAACAGGGAATAAAGCAAGAATTAACAAGCCAAGACAATCTCAATTTCCGAGCATTGTGGCTGTAACATCTTTCTAAGGAATGGTGTAACTGTTCCCTGTATTTCTTTCAAAAGCATTTTCCATCAGAGATTGCTTTTTTTTTTTTTAATTTGATTTTGACCAAAACATTCAGAAGCAGCAGCAAATGTTTTCATCTGCACCATTCCTATTCAAAACCGCAGTCACTATCACAAAACTATACTTAAAGGAATTCAGTAGTAACTATGTTATTACGCAGTGCAATCAACATTTGTCAGAATATAAAGCAATAATAAAAAATACACAGTTCATAGAACTGTAGTTCTTCGAATCACTCGAATAAGACTTCCATAAGATCACAGATCCAACAGTTTCAGTAGATGGTATAAAGAGAATCCATACGATGTCCTCCAAAGAGGTACCCATTGCACACAGCAGTCAAGTAAAAGAATTGTAACTCATTTACAAGGGCACAGTCTGATACTCACGTTGAATAAAACCAGTCTCACCTTTTTCTTCTGGCCTCAAGGAAGGGAATTTCTTCTCTGCAGTTGGCAATTCAGGCTTTGGAGCTGAATGAAAAAAAAACAAACCATTGAGAAGTGTCTAAGAGCTTTAGTTATCTTAGTCACTAACTAAAAATACGACATACACCAATTTGTGTTTATATTTTCTTCTTCCCAAGGAGCATAACACCATTTATAAACACTCATTTCAGACCAGCAAACTGTAGGCCTGTATTAAAGTGTTTCCAAAGTAGGCTCCAACATAATTTGGAAAAATATATAGCAGCAGTAAAATACATAAAGCATAAAAAGTAACCTCAAACTATGACTACGAGTGGCTGCATTACTTGGAAGTGCAAAGCTACTTCCGAATTTTCTTTTGAAGTCACGCACTGCTTCTGAAATCCAGTATTTTCTCAGATACACGCCACCATACTACACTGCGTACCTGGAGTTTTAACTGGAGGTGGAGGTTTCTTTGGCTTCTGCAAAATGAAGAGGAAAAACAAAGTCAAACAAACCAATATTCTCTACGGAAGACAGACTTCGTTGTGTTTTGATTTGCATACTGTAATGGCTAGCCCATTTACTAGCTGATTTCAAAGTGTTTCACAAAGGATGTAGTCAACTCACTGACAGGAAACACAGGGAACTGGATAATTCCTCTGATATCTCCAGACAACCAGTTGAAAAAGCAGGAACAAAATGCAGGTTTCTTCAGATCTCAGATTAGTGTTTTAGCAACACGTGTAAGCAGCAGAGGTACAAAGAGCTACATATTCAGAATGACCTCTTTTCTAGTCCAAAGAATTGCTCCAATTGCACTCATTTTAATTTCAATATGTAAGCCTCAATCTGCGATAGTAACATTCAAATTTAAAGGAGTAATCAAGACAATTTTTGAACCAAAACCGGTCACTTTTACTGGAATAAAAAGGTTCTAAACTAAATATCAGCAGAACTATTATTTCAATTCATTGAGACTTCTAAACTACAATACTGTAGGACAACAAAAATAGCTAGCAGTGTTTGCAATATAAACACTGCAGTTGCATGAAACACATTGTTTTGAGCTTCCTATTCACTGTATAATTAAGTGCAAAAAGGTGCACAGGCCACTTTAGCCATTAAAAATTTACACAGTATTGTACACTGAAAATAATTCTATTTTAAAACACAGTCACTCATCACTTTTCTGAAACTGATAAAACTCAATCTGAATCTCTCTCCTGTTGTTCTTTATACAAACACTGCTGAAACCATATGGGCTCAGTCTAACATAGCCCCTCCGAAAACTCCTTGTAGTGGCTATTTTTGAAACAGTTGCTATGAATGGATTTCACTCCTTTGCCCCTGTATTATTGAATAAGCTGCTCTTAATACAGAAAGATTTTATTCTGACAAGTGAAATGTCATTAAGCAAGCATGTAAACCCATATTAAGTTTCTTCTGCTAGCTTTATAGGACACAAACCCAGTGATCTTAAGTAACAAGACCGTATTTTCTCTTTCCCAGAAAAAGCAAATACATTATACACTGCTGCCTATATCAGAAACGATGACACTGAGAGGTCAGCATCAACTTGCCATTATATGACACCGATCTGTGTTTTTATTAAGTCGATATCAAATAGCTGATGACAATGCCTTGAACTTCAAAGCTGCTCAGTGCAAGGTGGATCCCTGTACTGACACACACTACACAAAGCAGAATAAAGGATGAAAGCAAAGTCTATCTACATGAAACACTGTTTATGGTAAAAGAAGATTTTTTTTCTCTCCCAAGGGAGCAATTCTGTACCACAAAACAGTGATACCACCCACTCACCCCTCAAATCGAGCCAGCCATATGTTACAGCATTTATGTCATCCTTGCAAAGCTAAGAATCAAGTTGAAAAGAAAACGCTGACTTGGAGTAACCAGACTTTCTGTATATGAGACGTAACTGAGGTTAAATGCTAAGTTAATAACTGTCTGTCAGGTTGAATCCAGCAATGCTCTCTGAACATCTCCAATTCCAGACCAAATGGCACTAAATTACTATGAAACGCTGTTCTGCTGAGATGCAGGTTTCAACATTTACATGTCCTGATCTGGAGCTGAATCCATTCCATTTGGGGATGATGTGTGTTTGTGAATTAACACAACCACCTTTGCCTCACAAACTTCTCAGAACCAAAACATCACACTCCTCTCAACAAAAAAAGTTATAAATAAGAACCAAAAATACAAGACCAAGGAGCCTCACATGAAAACATCCATTTCTATAAATTAGCGCACACGATGGTGGAAAGAAATATTACTAAATCCCACCTGAAGATCAGCTCAGGCACTGCAACCTACTGGCAAGTCTGAACGTGGAAAAAACCCAGTTGGTCCCACAGGGGTCATTCAGCATTTTGCAATTATAGCTACTTACAGGACTACTATATCCTTCCTACATGATCTAACCATCCTCATTAATTCCACTTACTCTTTAAAAGCACACCTCAATTTAATATTAAAGCAGAAGTTTGAACACAAACATTAACCTTTAAATCTTTCTTCTTTGATATAGCTAATTAAGAGTTTAAAACTGCCACAATTGTATCAATATTTTAAGCCACATGATGTGCTGTGAAATCTTTTATTCCTTCCATTTCCATCAATACTTTTTTGTGATGCTAAACAGTACATATAAGAACTTACAGGGAAGTCTTTATCAGACTCTTGTATTTGAACAGCAAAGTTATCTGGGAAGACTCCTTCTTTACCATTGAGTTCCCCTTTCCACCAGCCTGGCTCTCCAGTGTCCTAAAACAAACAAACAGACATTTCAATCAATATTTATTTCTTCCCCAGAACAGATACAGTTACAGGAACAACGGGCTTGCTTTTACACACAATGTAAAATAATTGTTTGTCTCAAATATCCCATTTATAAGAGGAATACTTTAACTGCCCTAGCAAGAGGAAACAGCCACAGATCAGATCAGGTTTGGTCACTTTTTATTTGTTTTCTAAAAAGTAGGATATGAAATTATATTACATCATATATATGATAAGGGTATAAGGATAAGATCTGCAAAGGGAAAGAAAGTACATAAAACCAGCTGCGATATTCAATATTCTCAACTTCCTGGACAGGCAACTTATTCAGTAAATACTATAAGTGCCACTGGAGTAACACACAATTCTACTAAATAAAATGATTCTGATGTGATTGATCAGGTTCACTGGTCTGAAAAGGGTGAAGAAGTGAGAGGACAGAGCTGAGGAAAGACATAAAAAAATAAAATTAAGACATAAAAAAATAAAATAAAATAAAAATGGAGAATTAACTTAGTGCCACAGAAATCCATTACATGATCTTTCTGTATTGAAGCCTTAGTATATACATAAAGTTCTTAGGAATATTTAAGCAGCATAACAGAGCACTGGCCCAGGCTGCCCAGAGAGGTTGTGGAGTCTCCTTCTCTGCAGACATTCCAAACCCACCTGGACATGTTCCTGTGTGGCCTGGTCTGGGTGATCCTGCTCTGGCAGGGGTTGGACTGGATGAGCTTTTGAGGTCCCTTCCAACTCCTGATATCCTGTGATTCTGTGATAAGTAACAGCTGCCTAAATATTCAGACCCACAGTACTGTAGATGTCACTCCTCCATCCAAGCCCAAGTGGGTTTCTGCCGATACGTGCCACTGTGAGCAGCACCAAGTAGTTCATCCCAAAGTTCAGTACACAACAAGGACAATTCAGCACTCAGTTCAGCTGAGACACTGAACGGGTCAAAGAGAGGGAAAAAATAAAAAGTAAAATAATTTTTTTTTAAAAAAGGACAGCGAGGTAAGAAATTCAGGGAAGATAATCAACAATAGCTGGCACATTTAAAAAAGTGCCTTCCGTAATTACACTTCCACTGTAGTTACAGTCAAGAAAACCGGTAATATCAGTTTCCTTGTTAAGAAAAGTGGCCGTGTCTTCCATAAACTTAAAATCCTCCTAAAGAAAAAAAAAAAGCGCTACTTTTCTTCCACAGCCAAGTGAAAGCTGAAAACAAACAAACCAAAAACAAAAAAGCCTTTTCATTTTTTATTTATTTTTTTTTTTAGGAAAGTCTTTACTCCTTAATATAGCAGCATATAAACTAACTGCTGGGAAATTAATTATGCAGAGGTTCATTTCTTGTTTAAAAACCATCTCTGCAACAAGATGAGCTTGCAAAAAGGTGTTTTCAATACTCACACAAACAGGAACATTCAACTAAACAATCATGTCTCTCTAAATAGCCAGTGTCATTAACTTCTGTAGGGTTATTCTGAAATACCAAGTGTCTCCAACACCTGGACTTCATTCCCCTACTGAAAGCGTTTGCTCAGGTTTTTTTTCATACCTACATCAGTAAGCACAGATCTTTATTTCTCACTTTTTTGACACAATAATACTTTTCAACCACCACCTCTAAGAGATGAGCCTGATACATCACCAGAGAAAGAGTACAAGTGCTGAAGGTAGAAGGGCTATTTTTGCAAAGCTTTTCCAATTTCCCCACTGAAAAGGCATTTGGTGCTGGGTGTATACTGGTCCAACTGGCCTTAGAACCTCGGAATCATTAAGGTTGGAAGAGACCTCTAAGATCATCAAGTTCAACCATCAAACTAACACCCTCATGCCCACTAAACCACATCCTGAAGTACCACATCCACGCGCTTCTCAAACACCTCCAGGGATGGTGACTCCACCACCTCCTTGGGCAGCCCCTTCCAGTGTTTGACCACTCTTTCAGTAAAGACATTTTTCCTAATATCCAGTCTAAACCCCCTCTGGTGCAACTTGAAGCCACTTCCTCTCATACTATCACCAGTTACATGGAAGAAGATACCAACACCCACCTCACTACGACTTCCTTTCAGGTAGTGGTAGAGAGGGATAAAGGTCTCCCCTCAGCCTCCTCTTCTTCAAAAGGCCTTTGAGGAATCTAAGACAACTTCCCACTCTGAGACAACCTTTAAGGACATCTGTGTCTTCACTGAGTGCAGAAGCAAAGAGCTGACCCTCAGACGAGGCAAATCAGTCTACAGGAATATCTGCTCCAACAGACTCTGCTGCTTTCACACTTTACACATTACCTACTGGAACAAAACCCACAAAAGCTAGATAAATGGTTCAAGCAGACCAGGAATCTTACCTTACTGATTATTTGAATGATCTCGCCTTCTTTAAAGCTGAGTTCATCATTTGAGCCTTCGTAGGAAAATATCGTCCTGCAATATTCCTTGGCTGAAACAAAGCAGCACAATTACAATTACACACCATGGGCAGCAGCACACATAGCACTGTCTGAAAGAGAGCTCAGAAATTCACAGTATAATCACACCTCCCTTCTACAGCAGCCACCTGAGACTGCTTTACAAATGTTCACTGTGCCATTCATATCAAAAGAAAAATAAGATCAGATATTTATGGAGCAACGGAGATAAATCTTTGTGAAATCAGCAGTTGAAGCTCTGAAATACTTTTTCCACAACAGCAACTTAGTTCAGGTACTCTGACTTCAGAGGGATGAGGAGCCGACTCAGCTAAACCTGTGACAGCCTATCTAAACCTCTCCATAGCATCATATATTCAGTTTTGAGCTAATTTAGACAAAAATGGTTTCAAGCTTTTTATGAAGATTTTATACGACATTTTCTCAGAAATTACCTACATTTCAAATGTGCAATCCTATTTAAATAAATGCAATTGTTTCAAGGTGACATCCCTTACTAACACGTACTAGTACAGAAACTTCCCGTACCCAAGCAGCACATTTGCTGAAATTCAGCAGTGAAATCAAGTAACTGAAGCAAAGGAATTCCTTGGCTTAGCACCTGAAACCAGACCTCACCTGAGTGACCAACTCAGTCACAGCCTCTTCTGCAAGAAATAGAAAGAATAATGTCTTTCTTTCCATTTGGTACAGTTCAATAATTAATCCATTTAAAATTGAGGTAAAACAATTTCAGGTGAAAAAACAGGAGGATTTGTTTTCCTTTCCCACACTAGAATAAAATCCATGTGAGAAAGGCCCAAATATATTCCTATAGAAGTCTTGACTGCAAAGAATTTTTCAACATTATTAAATAAATTAAATTTCTTAGTGGATAAAAAGGCTGGATTTCTCTGACAAAAGAAGGAAGAGGAAGCAAACAAAAAGGACTCTAATGTGCTGCCTTAACCACAATATCAGGTCACCATCAGGATCCTCTGCAAGCCTTAAAGACCACCTTTTGCTGGATGGCAAGAAAATAAATGAGTTACAGTTGATTCTGTTGTTGTTGTATTTTGTTAAATCAAGATACAAATCTGATTATATTCTTAAATAAAATTCTAGCTTTCTGACAAATGAAGGAAGGGGAAGCAAACAAAAAGGACTCTAACGTGCTGCCTTAACCACAGTATCAGGTCACCATCAGGATTCTCTGCAAGCCTTAACGACCACCTTTTGCTGGATGGTAAGAAAATAAATGAGTTACAGTTGAATCTTTCTGTTGTTGTTGTATTTTGTTAAATCAAGATACAAATCTGATTATATTCTTAAATAAAATTCTAGCTTGGTCAGCGACAACTACTATGTTAAAATGCAAAAGTATGCCAAGCTTAAGAGATAGGGATACATATGGATGTATACACACAAATAAATAGATGATATGTAACCATATGAATAATTCTAGGTATAAGAACTTGCATTATTTTAACACCTTAAACAGAGATCAGAAATGCTCAACTATAGACTGACTATACTGCAGTTTGTGAAGAGTTACGCATAAGCAAAACAGTGTTAAAGTGATGAATGTTTAAATGGAGGTTAAAAAAAAATCAAGTACACTACAAATATCTCCCAAATTCAGAGATTTTATTCATTAGTAATAACAATGTGTAACACAAGTGTAGTACATTTCTCTATGTCCTGATTCTGTAACGGTCTGGGGATTTGGCCAGTACAGATGAATGACACAATCCTCCTCTCCTCCTCCAAGCACATCTCCTCTCCTCACATATCCCAAAACAGACAAAACAGACCGGGAAGGGAACCTTTCACCCTGCTCCAGCTGCCGGGAAGGCTGGGGACAGGGAGCCCTCACCCTGCCATGGTCCTCGTGTGCACTGGGCTGTGAACCCCAGCACTCGGCATCACCCAAGAAATGCACCCACCGATGTTACGAGTATGAACTATTTACAACACAGTACATCTAAACTTCAGTAAGTATATTTACTAAAAGGTAGTTTAAAATCCAGCCTTTTCCCAAGATTTGGGACTACCAATACAGTAGCAGGAATCACAGATGATGTATTCTAACATAAGCAGGGGAAGGAGGGGTCAAATTGTGATTATTTTAATTTTTAAACAAAATATTTTTACATACTTGCACCAGAGGCCAAAACAAGCTTCCCAGAAATAGCAGAGCCACACCAAAATAAGCCACACGAGTCTAAACAGTTTAGAGATCTGTTTATTTGCTAACATATTGAACAGAGTTTATTTTGAACTCCCTTTCTCAAAACTGAGGACGATATATATAAACTATAACACGGTCCATATTAAAATAAAAACACTAAAGAAGAAAACCAAGCTTTCTTCCAAAGGCTGCAAGATGTTCTTAAATGGTACCTATAGGTTTTATCTAATGATGTCCCACTGCATCTATCACTACCATATTTAATTTCTCACTGATGTATTTGTTTCTCTGGCGAGCAGAGACTCAGCATGGCTATTGAATTAGTCCAATTTCTGTGCTTTTAGGAGGAGATGCACCTGAAATCATGAAAAGAGCTAAATACTGAATGTTCTCAGTGTTCAGTACTGAATATTCACATTTTTTTAGGCAGATTTGGGTTAATTTTAGGCAAAGTTTTAGACAAGTCAAACTGCACAATGCTCAGGGCTGGATGGCTCTTAAAGCAACAGCACTGGCACCGTTTCAAAGCAAGATCCCAAGAGAATCCCAGCGTTGAAGTTCAGTAAAGATTTCAAAGTTGCAAGCAAGCATCAGCTTCCATCAGATGCACCGTACAGAAACATTTGATGTATGCTTTGCAATGGCAAAATTTAAGTATTAACTACTCTCAAGCCATTACACCAAACATCTTGATCAGTTGTTTGTAAACATGGTGATGCTATTTACAGCTATCCAATACAATAAAGCCAAAATACGGCTAAAGTGGCACGGATGCCCTATATACTGCTAGAGATACAGAGAAACGAGGGCTCTGACCATCAAGCCTGGCATTTCAAGTGCCCTTTTGTGCTAAATTACACAACTACTCAACACAGGCAAAAAGTCAATTGTTTGTTTGTCACAGTTTTCTCATTTCTGCAAATTACGCGTTCCATGTAAGACAACCCACTGAGCCCAAAATAAGGTATTTCCGCAGAAAACAAAAATACACTTGAAATTACTCTACGGATGTCAAAAGAAGTCTGCTCTGGAAGCAGGCAAAATGAGCTGTCTATACATCACATAATTGAAGTTAATTTTTCATATGAGGTTGGCACTCCCACACAACGTTTTGGGTTGGCTTAAAAATACCTCTCTAGATAAAACTACGCAATTTGGTAGTTAAATGAAGTCATAAATCCTTCACAGTAAAAAAGAAAAATTAAAAAAGAGTTTAGTATAAACAGAACCACAATGGGACTAGATTATCTAGGGAACGGACTTCAGCAGAGCACAAGCACCAACTTTTTGATGCAAGAAACTTAGTGTACAGTTATGAAAGCACATTGGCAACTCCACAGTAAATCCTGAGCCTAGAAAGTCACTTCTATAGCCTAGGGACAGAAACAGAGCTCAGGGATGGTTTCAGAACAAGAGATTTCCAGCATCCCAGCTGAACACTAAAAGCCAGGCAGAAAGACAGCCAGTTTGAGCACGTCAAGATAGCAAATTGAAAGAAAGGGGCTGCTGCAATAAAACTTCATGCCTCAGCCTTATTTTGTTCTGGAAGACAACCACGTAAGTGATTTTAATTCGTTTTCCACCCAAATGCAAGCAAAAACTCCTCCAGACTCTTCTGCATAACTCCTCAAAGGTACAGAACATTACACAAAAACCCAGCCCACACACGAGTTTAAGATTTTAAGATTTAAAAAAAATGACAATCAGATACTTCTGTGCAGAGGACTACCAAGTAATAGACGTGTACTTCCATCAGCCTTACCTTTTGGTTTACTTTCAGCTTCTGATTTCACCACTTCTGATGAGTTTTCAGGCTTTGTTGTACTGGGAAAATGCATGAGCTTTGTTCCAGGGGGATGGTTAGGTGATGGCTATATGAATAAAATAAGTCTTTGTTAACAAAAACTCACAATGAGTTTTAGTTTTGTTTAGGCTACAGAACATACTCAGGTTTTCATTAGTTGAGACGATAGGAATGACTATCTCCAAGAGATTCAATGAATTTTCCCATTAAGTATTTAACTTGCTGTAGTTACTTCATTACACCCACTGCAATTAAAATTTTGCCTACCAATTGAAGACAGTGCAGCTTTCAATCTAGAAGCCAATCTCAGGACATTGCCAGATACACTTTTTCTGTCACATTTCAGCAGTTCCAAGTGTTACTGTTCCATTATCCTGAAAACAGCCTCTACTTAACAGCTCTGCTGAGAGTAACTTGCTGACAGCGCTTCCTTTGCGCTGGAGTAAAGCAGGAGTATTCAGTAGCCATACACCACCCCAGCTGAAGAGGAAATCAGTTCTTAACTAAGTGTAAGAGCACATGAAAGCCCGTCCCACCTTCACTTCTCTCTCAGCAATTCATACAGAACAGATAAGCACAATTGAGATTTCTCCTACACCAAAAAAAAAACCCCACAGAAGCATTTGAACCAGTAACAAGTTTCACAGTTAACAAATATCTAAGCAAAATAATTGTTTCAATATTTTCTTCCCCCCCTCAGGAGACCTACTGAAGATTCACACAGCTTCAGCTGCATTCACTTCTTCACAGCCCTATGAGCTACAAACACAGAATATGATCTTACAGCCAGTACTTACCTGAGCAGCCCTAACAGTGTTACTGATGTGAAAAATCCCATTGCCTTTAGTTATTCTGTTCATTTTCATCTAAACTTTCCAGACTTTCTACTGTCAAAGAAACCAGATTTACACTCCTTGAAACCCGATGATGCCTGTGGGCTGGTGCTTGGTACCTCTGACATACCATAGAGGAAGCCACGGTCACCTGGGATGTTCTCAGAGTACATATGCAATTTAATGTGCTCCACAACGCCATATGAAGGAAGGCCTAAAATAACCCACCTATGAGATTAAACAAATCCGATGTGGAAATAGTTCTCTACATTTCCCCCTTCCAAAATGAGATGCAATTAGAAAAGTGAGAGGAAGTTTAGGCAGACAGGGTATAAATAGCCTGAGCCCAGGCAGGATGCTGGGGCCGGCTGAAACCTATCTCACCATCCTCCTGCAGGACCATAAATGCTCTTAAGCACTTCAGATCCATCAGAGCTCAGCCTTCCTGTGCTGAACAGTCTCCAAATTCCCCAAGGGAAAAAAAAAACCCTCTCTGCTCTAGAGTTTCCTAATAACAGCTTTTTACTTTACTGACTGAGAATGCCCTTTAAGCATCTCTCTACCTAACACCAAAGCAAGTTGAGCACAAATCCAAAGAAGCCATCCATTTTTGCAAGACCTTCGTAAGAATTGTCTCCCTAGGACTCTCCAGGTTGTTCTGTAAGTCTGTCTGCCTTTGGGATGGTCTCAGCAACAAGCATAAGTGGAATATTAAGTGCTAAACTCAACTATTTATTTCATTGTCTTTAAGCTATGCAAAACTTGTTTTCTCACTTCATTTCCCGTCTTGCTGAGAAATGGCCTACAACAACTTTCCAGACAGGCCAACTAACAGAGCGCCAACAAATTTTAGTGTTTATACACAGCAAAATAACACAATCCAAGATGTCTGAGCAAACTTCACAGCATTCACTGAAGGACATTGACATGGGTAATGACAGATGACACCTAGAACAGCAATCTCAACATCTACCACAACCCGGGGAAAAAAAAAACACAACCCAAAAACTAAAGAAACTCCAAAATATTTCTTGTTTAAAAGGCCAGGTTTAACTTATATAGGAAGACTTAATAGTCTTGTCTCAGATTGCATACAAAGTCAGTTACAGAGAGATTACGGGAAACATTGTACCGCAGATGTGTTTGAGAAGTTACTGTGGAACTTGTGTAACAAGCCACCAGATGGCTTTGAAACAACAATTTTTATATCATCTTCGCTTTCCCTCGCTAATGTTTCAAATCCCAAGACCTTTGAATAGACCTTTTGCAATCAGTGTTAAATATAACTTACTGTGAAGGAAGCTTGAGGAGGTTTGATTTATTTTATAGGGAAGAGCCCTGTGAGACGGTTATAGTCCGATTATGGAAATAAAAATTTTGAAGTAGTCAGTGTATTCAGCACCTTTAAGATACTGTGACTTCAGATTCCACATCCTTTAAATTATTTTTACAGGGAACCCCAAAATAACAGCATGAACTGCTACAAACCTTATCTTGCTTTTTATCTTCCGATTCATTACTGGATAATCTTGTCTTAAGTTTCACCGAGCCTTCTTTAAAGATATCTCCAAACCCAATACCTCGGATTTTCTTTGGCTGTGCTGGTGCAGATCCAGGTTCACTCCCATTTCCTGGAGAGACCACAGGTGAGGTAGGACCGCTGAAAACAGGCTCTGAAAGCACAAAAAAGAAAGCTGCTTTAATAGTTGAAATTATTTGCTCTTTGGGAAGAAAAGTGGAGTTAACATAGCTGTGTGCACTGCTCTTGATAAAGAGCTTTTCTATGAACATTATATTGTAGCTGTAATATCTCACCTCTGTTCTAGCTGTATATTTAACACAGGACCATTTGAAATTACACCAGTATTGCACTGAATACTCCAGTAACCAAGTCATTAAATCACTAATACGTCTTGCTATTTCAATTGTCACCCAGGCTCTGCAGTCTGTTAAAGTGATGGAACACCTTATCCTTGGTGCC